TGTCTCATGAACATAATGTCAGACGAACACATATGATAATAAGTAATAACTTGCTGAGACAGAAATAAGGGAAATAAAGTGGTCATGCATTTTTCAACACCAAACTGGAATCCTCTATCTTCAGCATAAAAACAGAGATGTAAGCATGTTTATATAGGGAGGGATGTGTCCCTCAGGTGTGCAAGTGAGTATATACCATCAGGTCAGGAAGCAGGTGAGTGGGACGTCAGGCCAGGAAACAGGTGAGTGGAACATCAGGTCAGGAAGCAGGTGAGTGGAACATCAGGTCAGGAAGCAGGTGAGTGGGACGTCAGGCCAGGAAACAGGTGAGTGGAACATCAGGTCAGGAAGCAGGTGAGTGTGACGTCAGGCCAGGAAACAGGTGAGTGGAACATCAGGTCAGGAAGCAGGTAAGTGGGACGTCAGGCCAGGAAACAGGTGAGTGGAACATCAGGTCAGGAAGCAGGTGAGTGGAACATCAGGTCAGGAAGCAGGTAAGTTGGACGTCAGGTCAGTAAGCAGGTGAGTTGGACGTCAGGTCAGGAAGCAGGTGAGTTGGACGTCAGGTCAGCAAGCAGGTGAATTGGACGTCAGGTCAGGAAGCAGGTGAGTGGGACGTCAGGTCAGCAAGCAGGTGAGTGATCCACTGCACTGGTTTATTTCAAATCCAATACTAGCAGTCTGAATTAGGTTTGGTACTTGTATGTGCTTCTTAAGTCTAATTTTGAAACATTTGGCTTCCATTGCCCCTGTGTGATATCATAATTAGGCGTAGTTGTTATGAGAGCTAATTCTACGATTTTTCGTTCGTAGGCACAATGTAATTTTTGTGTAATAGCAGCGGCTTCCCGATAGATATTGTGGTTATTATTGCTAACTCGTTGAAAGACGGCTTAACTCGCTTGTCCATAACGAATCGCTGTCTTGTGTTCAATGACCCTGGTTGATAACGCTCTGTCAGTCTTTTCCATGTATATTTGACTGCAGTTTTTACAAAATAAACAAGTTACATAAGATAAACTTCTGGTTTATCTTGTGTAACTAATTTATCAGATACCATGTTAAAACTGCAGCCAAATATACATAGGAATCTCTAGTAGAACGTTAAAACATAAAATGTTAATATAAATGTAATATATATATATATATATATATATATATATATATATATATATATATATATATATATATATATATATATATATATATATATATATATATATATATATATGTAAGCAGCTGCCCACGCAGCACGAGCATACATCAACAACATGCCCGATGAAAAAGTCTTGATCAAATTGGACTTTGCCAACGCTTTCAACTCAGTCAGATGGGATGCTGCTCTCCAAGCAGTTTATAGAAGCTTCCCTTCCCTCTATCCCTTCATAGAATCGTGTTATAGTGTGATTTCTACACTATTGTTTGGGGACCACGAAATTTGCTCATGTGAGGGTGTGCAACAGGGGGACCCTCTCGCCCCTTTTCTATTCTGTTTGGTCATCAAGGAAGTCACAGAAGCACTTTCCAGCGAGCTCAATATCTGGTTCTTGGATGATGGTACCCTAGCTGGCACAACAGAATCGCTCCTAGAAGACAAGAAAAATTAAAGACATGGGAGAAAGCCTGGGCCTATCTTTAAACTCCACAAAATGTGAAATAGTTTCTACCAATCCACAGATGATCCAGAATATTAGTGCTGTTTTACCAGGAGCACGAGCCAATAGCACTCTCCTTGGTGCTCCTCTTGGGTCCAGTGCCATCGATCTGATCCTAGAAAGAAAAATCTCAGACCTCAGGACGATGGAAGGCAGGATGAAAGACATTGATACACATGATGCCTTCTACCTACTCACCAGGTGCCTGTCAATCCCAAAACTTACCTACTTTCTGAGATGCTCCCCAGCCTTCAGCAGTCCGAAACTCAAGGAATATGACTCTCTCCTTAAGACCATGCTAGAGAGTGTATTGAATCTTTCCCTTGAAGATGGACAGTGGTTGCAAGCCTCACTTCCGGTCAGGCTTGGGGGGCTGGGTGAACGCACATCCTCCCAGATTGCCCTACCAGCTTTCCTATCCTCTTCCATAGCAACAAACGAGTTAATAAGACAAATTCTTCCTAACAACCTCAGCGACTCAGCAGGAATACAGGACCCTAACTATGCCAGTACCATCACTGAATGGGAGACTCTTGCTGCTCTAGCACCAAACCCTAGTGTCACACTGGTTTACAAACAGTCAAGCTGGGACGACCCCATCGCTGAAAAGGTGCTTGCCAACATGCTCAGGGCTGCAACATCAGACAGGGAGATTGCCCGTCTCCAAGCTGTGAGTGCACATCACTCCCGGGACTTCCTCCAAACAGTTCCCATATCGGCAATGAGAACGCGCCTCGACCCTAAGACCCTCCGTATTGCAGTGGCTTTGCACCTTGCTGCCCCAATTCACACGGAATATACGTGTATTTGTGGCGATGCGCAAGCCGGCCAATATGGTCTACATGGTCTTAACTGTTCCAAAACCAAGGGCTGGCATGCAAGACACAATGAGGTCAACGATATCATAAAGAGAACCCTTGCTACAGCTGGATGCCCGGCTGAGAGGGAGCCCCGATCACTAGCAGCCAACAATACCCACAACCCAGCAAAACGCCCCGACGGGATCACCATCTGTCCTTGGAAGAATGGCAGGCTCTTAGCATGGGACTATACCTGTGTGTCCACACTGGCTGACACCTATATCCATCACAGTGTCGGGCGACAGGGAGGAGCTGCTGACCACAGGGAGGAGTACAAGATCAGCAAGTACAGGGACATAAGACAATAGTTTCAATTTGTCCCAGTGGGATCAGAGACCTTGGGATCATGGGGAAAAAATGCCACACCTTTCCTTAAAGAATTGGGTTCCAGACTCGTCGACACCACCAGGGACCCAAGGGCAGCTACTTTCATGTTCCAGCGACTCAGCGTGGCCATCCAGTGGGGAAATGCTTGCTGCATACTTGGCTAGCGTCCGGCTTCGAAGGAGCTGGAGGAAATTCATTATCTTTAATACATTGTACCATTGTATTCATGTTTGTGTTTTCTGTAAATGTATTCTGTTTATTAATAAATGTTCACATAGAATATAAAATATAGGGGGTGGCTGGAGAAGAAAATATTCAAACAGCTCCGGGGAGAACCTTGAGTTTTCCCTGAGGCACGTTTATTGTCTTCTCTGAGGATGAGGGTCCCCAGTCCAGTTATAGAGGTGGTACCTGCTATATTATATATATATATATATATATATATATATATATATATATATATATATATATATATCTATATATAATATCATAATTATTTATTAACAATATATAAATAATAATATATATATATATATATTTTTATTAAATATTGATTAATATTATATCAGTCAGTGCTGAAGTTGCAGATAGTCAAGAATCATTTGTTTCAGACCAAAGATCAGAATGGAGAAGAATTAATAAATGGCTTTGACTTGATGATTGTGGTGCAGATGGATGGTTTGAGTATCTAGAGGAAACTGCTGACGTTTGAGATTTTCACGACAAAACAGTTTCCAATATATTTGCCAGAGAAAGAGGTGAAATAAGCATCAGTGAGCGCAGTTCTGTGCGAAAATGTCTTTTAATAAGAGGTATGAGGGAATAGCCAGGAACTGGTTCCTGACCCGAAGTGACAGTAACTCAAAGAGAAAAAACACTTACCATCATCATCAAACATCTGCCTGCCAGATGGTTGGCATCGCAGCTCATGGCTCTACGAACCTAATATCCCCTTCCCTCCTTCGATGCAGGCACCTTATGTCTTTCTTCCAGGACTCAAGTCCGGCTAACCAGGTTTCCTTCGAATTTCTTCATAAATAATGCTTTGCTCACACTCCAACAGCACGTCATATCATAAAAACCACTTGCCACCACTCACTCCTACAAAACATGCTCACCCAATCCTGTTGGATGTCCATGCCCCTGGCTCAAACCTTAAAATACCCCTACCCCTCCTTCCCTTCACCCCATATTTATATGCCCTCTTGGTCATTCTATGATAACTATGAGGGTATATACATTTCCAGGGTATGCAGTTAAACCACAAGGGTGAGAATAGAACCTGAAGCTTCCTCTAGGTTCCTAAGCAGAATCCTCGTCAGGTAATAGGTGGAAAGTAACCGTTGTTTTTCAAGAAGCCTTGTTCGTCTTGCTCCAAAAAACGACAATGTTTATTCCAGAAGATGAAATAAAAATCTTTCTCTGGTATTTTGCACACTTTGTTTAGAATAAGTAGAACCTTTGTCGAGGTACATGACAACATCAATAATATCTGCTTCAATATGACAGTGACTACCATGGCAGTGATATTAAAACAATAAATAACAACATCTTAGCATTTATTAATCGAGTAGACTTTAGAAAAATATAAAACGTACTTCCAGCTCACCCAGACATATATAGCCTCGGGCTCTGTGTTAGCTAGCCACACAGCCACACCGCCACATAGCCACATAGGCCTCAATGTGTCATCTTTCTCCTAAGCCTGTTTCATAAACCTTTAACAAATAGCTTTCTTCGGCACAAGAAATAAAACACATTTCAAAATTACGTTCTCTGAATTCAGGTATTCTAAACCCTCTCTATTTTGAAAGGAACCTTTGCCTCACAAGTGGCTAGGAAGCACCACATAAAGCGTCTTTACAATTAACAAAAACATGATTTTTCTAGCCTTGAAGAGGGTAAAAGGCTCTTGATGCAGTGAATTGCACTTCCACTCTTTTCCTCGCATCAGCTTGATGCCTTTTATTTCCGAGGCACTGTAAAAATCCATAGGAATTTAGCGCTCCCATTAATGTAATATTCCCTTGAAACAAGCTTGAATTTTCACTGGTTAGTGTTAAAATGCCCTGTCTGCGGAGAGTTTGATGACTGACGTTATGCTTGCTTCATTTTGGTACATCATATCTGGAGAGACGTTGATAACCTGACGTTATGCTTGCTACGTCTTGGTACATCATATCTGGAGAGACGTTGATAACCTGACGTTATGCTTGCTACGTTTTGATACATCATATCTGGAGAGACGTTGATGACCTGACGTTATGCTAGGTACGACATCGTATCTGGAGACACACTCATATGACGTCGTGCTTGGTACGACATATCTTGGGGGAAGACTTCGAGTGCTTGAAGTTCATTTGCTTCCTTCGGACTCCACTCTCTGTTGTGTTGACTATCGCTAAGGAGTATATATAAATGGTTCTCTGTATCTCTCTCCCTTGAAGTTTACAGATTCAGAAAAGATGATAGAATGTGTTCACATGATTCTCTAGGCAGACAAAATTACTATATAAATAACATCGAAAAAATATATATTACACCCATCTTTATTTGCCTTTTATGAGACACTTTTGACCTTTTTCCCGCGAGAATCGGTCGCAGTGCTATTTTTTTTCACTTTTTTTTTGTTTTTGTTTAGGCAATTCGATGTAGTTTCCATAAGAATTATATAAACTCTAACATAGTTAATTGCCTCAAATCATTTAAAGTATTCCGTCTGTTTTAAGCGAGAGAGAATTTCACTTCACCTTTAGCCCTCGTTCAGTTACTATGCAAGAACTCTTCTCTCTCTCTTTCTCGTATAAGGACTTTTGGAACCAGGATAATATTTATCAAGCTTTATTATTAGGAAATTATGAAAGTTATTCTCTTCACAGGCAAATAAGAAACAAATGCTGATGCTGCAAATGAAACAAAAGCTTTACTGAAATCCTCTATTTCCCTGCAGGAAATGTTGAATTGTCGACTCCCGGAACAATTATGCACTTACAGATTATTATTATTATTGTTGCTGTTTTTATTATTATTTAGTTGATATATCATATTCCTATCTTTAGGAGGGGGAGAGAGAAAGAGAGAGAGAGACAGTGAATCAATGAGATTTACACATAAATTTGTAAAGGAAGCTTAGTAAGTATCATGTAAACAAGATAATTATCATAAATATGTTACAGTTGATCCCTTTTCGAAATTCTGGACAATTTGTTAAATTAGTTTTGGCTGCCAACAAATCTGTTATTAACACTGAAAGGCACTGGGAGGGTCAGGCGTTAGCATGGACACAGATTTGGCTAAATTATCCGAATATTTTTTCTTCATAAAGTCGTCCCTGATTGGCGGAGACATTGCCTCTAGGTGCGTGGTGGGCGTGGCCAACTCACCACCAGAGGTACAAAGAACTGTTGTGATTGGTGAGGACCCATTTGTGTTGGGTGCTGCTGCTGCTGATTGGTTGGTATTTGAGCCATTCGTATGTCAGGACTCCAGCATGTGTGCCACCTCACGGAATCCTCCCAGGAACTTTGCACTTCCACTGCAGCTCTCCAGACCTGAAGTAATGGTGGAACAGAAAAGGTTAGAAGATATTTATATAACTCCAACGCAGGTGTAAATGGCGTATGATACGAACAAAAAATTATAGAAAGATACAAAATGCAAACTCTAGAACATTTTATTGGAAGCGTGTCAGCCCTCGGGCTTTAGTCGCTTCAAAGGCAAATTTGGAGTTACCAAGGTCCCACAAACGAAACATTTCCAATGAAATGTCCTAGTGTTTTCATTTTGTGTCTTTTTTAAAGTAAGAATCTTTCTACCATTAGCACCCGCCCACATAGAAAAAAAAATATTATTTCTGTGTGAACATTACAGAAAGTTGCCACTAGTTTAAAATAACTTACTATTACAGCATCAGTATTTTATGCCCCAATAGCATCAGCCTGAATGGTCCATTGGCCAGGTCACATTAAGTCGACGGAGGACTGAGTCTCCACTGCTGAATGGCCAACACGGGTTTAGTTTCGTGAAATACAGTCCAGTCATAATTTTAAGATAGATTATCACTTGCAGGAAACACATGACTGGAAGTTACTACTATAAAGACTGACACAATTTTATTCTACCTTATTCAGTGGCTTTAGCTAAAAATAAGCTGAGACGAGAGAAATATTACCACAATGCATTAAGGATCCTGACCTTTAACCGAGACCTAATTTGCTACGAGTAACCTGGCTACCCTAGAAGAAATGTTCTGAGAAGTATATACAGTTGAAGCGGGAATTTGAATAAACTGTGTGTGAACACAAAGGACAGTGATAGACTATGACCGAAATATGTATTTGGATCGCTGTAGTGTTCAAATTCGATAATTTTAAATAGGAGCGAATTGCTAAATGAAACCAAATTGTATCAGTTTCACATTAACTGAAGTTGCTTTAAGATCAGTTTAATTTAACTTTAGTCGATGGTAATATTAATTATTATAATCAAGGGGAAGCACTTAACTCGTAGGATTATACAGCGCCTGTGGGGGGATGGGGGAGGTATTCAGGCTTAATTCAGGGAACTGGAACAGAGATCTAATTCCCTAGATCAAGAGCCCCTCACCATCGTCAAGGAACCTTCCTTGAATGGATGGTAATATTAAAAAGTTTGTAGCTGATTCACTCAAGTTTCAGTTGGTGGTCGGATCCTGTCATACCTTGGAGACACCTCTCTTGTCGCTCTTTTGATGAAGAGTGCCTTGATGTCAGTGAATAAGAGCTACCCTTAGCTTTTTTTAATTAAACTTAATTATCCCCTTTTCCCTAGCACTGTATGACCCCCTACGGTTTTAGCGCTTCTCCACGAAAATAATTCAGATTTCTTAACTTATCAGAAGAGGGCCATGTCATCAAGAGCAAACATGACGAGCCCAAATCTTTGTCAGTAGTGATTTTACTATCAAAACGTTCAAACATTTCAACTTAAATATCAAGTCCCTCCCTTCAACTCCAAAATTAATCGCCTATACTGTGAATTAACCTATCTGGGTTTATGATGGGATGGAGGGGTAAGGATTATAGCTCTCTTGTGTTAGTATTGATTTTTTTTTATTTGGGAAAATTGGATGCGGCAGCGATGTGCTGCTCTCCTGTTCTATACGACAGTTATATATGGGGAACAAAAGCTAGTTATTCGCTCTGTCATATTCAGTCACACAGGAGAGAGTATATGTATGGTGCTGAACTCTGTCAGCCTGAGCTGGGAGACTTGAGTAGAACAATGAGGATATTGTAAATTATTCCGTGAGTCTGCGGGTTAATTAACTCCGCCACTAGTCTGGATGCGCTCCTTTGTAACACACTGGTGCTGTGTATTCAAGTATTAACTTATTGTATGAGGAAAAGGGGGTCCGTGTATTGCGAGCACAGAATGCCTTGCTGATGGTTTTTCTGTACGTGTGAGCCTTGTTGGAATGATATGGAGAAATGGTCGTTCTTATGACATTTGTTTCCAAAACTTTCCTTCCCGGGTGATTCTATCTTCAGTCTCCTTCTCCAAGTATGTGTGTGTAATCGCCTATTCGACTCACCTATTTGTGATTGCAGGGGTAGATTCACAGCTCATGGCCCCGCCTCTTTTCTAGTGCGTTTGTGTGTGTGTGTGTGTAGGGGGGAGGCAAAAATAAGGGTGGAGGAAAAGAAGGGACGAAGTCTACACTTTCTTTAAGCCAGCAGAAGTCATCGGTACATCCCAACACTACCCCAGTGTGACTCACAGGAGGAGAGTGATCCTGGGGAGGAGCCGTCACCTTCGTATGCGTAGTTCCTGAGGTCGTCCCCGGCAGGAGGGTTGCCCATTCCTCGTTTGCTCACACCATTCTGCTTCCCTGTTTCCAGCCTCATCCCTCCGTCTTTGGATCCTCCATGTTCGATATCTGGGGCAGCAGAGGAGATCCCGCTCCGTTTTTGGTCCTCCATGCTGCTGGTCTCCGAGGCGGCGTCCACCTGTAGCACGTCCACATCTGACGATCATAAAAAAATCAGTCAAAAGCTTTAACATAAAAATGAATGAATTATAAAACGTAAATAGGGATACAAGTCTGATGATAGGCAACGAGGTACACAACATATAATGGTACACCAACGCTATAAATTTATGGATTTTACCGAGGATAAACACCCAGTCATGAGGATTGTATATTTGAACCTAAATAGTTCAAGCCTCAAGGACACATTTGCACTCAAGACATTTGATTAAGTAATATTGATCTTGCAAGTTCAACGCCAAGATTCTGAAAAATGTGGCAGAAATGAAATTAACCGTCGTATCATATTAAAGCAATACAATACGGGCAAGTCAGTGAGTCAGACACAGGTGCATCACTTAGGTATCTTCGTTGATGAAATGTTTTCCCTGCACCGCAGGCTTTATCAGTCGAATACAAAGGTGATTACTATACTGGAGGCAATAAAGTGGAGAGTTAGTTCTAGAGATTTGTCTTTTAGCCTTCGAAGCAGAAAAACTGATCACCTCAAACTACCTCTCCTCTTCTACCGGCTTCACTATACTATTTTCGACTGATGAAGCTTGTTGTGCAGGCGAGGCTTTTCCTCAATAATCATACCTAAATATTGTGTATGTGTCTTATTTATTAACTATCATCTCATTTCATAAATGAACGGTAGTTTCAACAGAAATTGCAAAATGCAGTTTTCGGCAGAATGAAAGCAGTTTATAAATGTTCCCATTGTTGGATTTTGAACCTGTTCAGTTTACTTCAGTCGTGTTTAACCACTGTTGCTCGATTATTATGATGGGACTTTTCCTCCAGTGTTTCAGAAGGCTGCCATTGATTCGCTGTATGTAGGTTATTGATTAAGACACATCAGGGTTCACTTACTGTACGTACTCTGCAGGGGTTTGGAAGTGGTCATTTTTTCTGAACTGGAGAGCATAGTCCGTTCTGGTTGTGGGAGACTTCATGTTTCCTAAATAGGGATTCTTGGATTATGCTGGTGGAAGGTGCCAACACTCTTTGTTAGGGATCTTGGTGTAAGGTAGCAACGTATCTGCTACGTTTTGGATCTTAATCCATGCTGGTAGAAAGAAGCCACATACCTGCTATGTTGGGGTTCTTGGTCCATGCTGGCTGGCCGTTGGCTTTGGGCGGCTTCAGTAGCTTCAGCTCCAGCAGGTTGGGTGTGCGGCTGCAGGGTGACGATACTTGCTCTTTGCAGCTGACTGTGTCATCCTTGTCGTGGGCGGCCCCCCTGCGCAGCGCCGAGCGGCGGTGGTGCTGGTGCAGCAGGAAGGCGCAGATCAGCACTGTAGGGAGGCAGTAACAAAGTGATACAAGTACCGAGGGTGTTCCTGTATTTGTAAGGATGTTTGCTGGCTGCAAAAGCAGTATGTCTGACTCAGAGGATAGAACCTCTAGCAATACTTGTGATGAATAGGCTCCAAGGGTTTATCGCTTCACATAAATACCTTAATAATTTTGGTTGTAAACTCACCATCGGAAGAAAATTTAACGATTCTACAAAAATTTAAAATCAGCTTTTGAGAAATGACTAAATTAAAATCTACACATACAATACAAAACAAATGAGGTAAAAACTACTGGCGCACACATCTGAGTCGAATGAGGATGGGTTTTGTGGTTACAGTGACACTCACGGAAAAGGAAGGTGCACCACACAACTATGGCTACGAGAGCAGCCAAGGATAGTTTCAGTGAAGTCTCCCCCACGTCAGGCAGGTGACAGTGTTGACCACTGAACCCCGCTGGACACGAGCACACGTAACCTTCACGAAAACAAAAATGAACACCGTCAGTGAGGATAAGTATTTAAAAAATGAACGCAGATAAGCCACCAGTAAAAATAAAATACTTCACTAATTGTCATTGCTGCCTGCACATCACTGCTTATCTCTTGTGGGGTAAGGAGTCACTTGACAGAAATTACCGGAGGAGGTTTCAAGGGTGGATGCTTATGAAGAATCCTAAGAGGGTGGCACCGGTAGCCGCAAGATTGCCACAAATCAGTAGTGAGTAGAGACTTGTTCTACAAGTCTATAAGATGGTAATACAAGAGTACAGTGAATTTAGGAGTGTGTCGTACGGTTTCCATGTCATTAAGTGGGTATTACAAGCAGCCAAGTGGAAGCCAGGAGAGTGGTTCACCTGGCTGGGTGTTGAAGCAGATGCCACCATTGAGACAGGGCTGCCATACACACTCGTCCTCGTCTTCACACGTCGCCTGGCTGCTACTACTCACCACACGTCCCTCGCCACACCTGTAAATCACGTCGCATATTAAACACGATTCCTTTCAAAACTCGCACCCCGTATTAAGTGAGGGGCTGGTAAAAAATAATGGAAAACTTTTATTCATGAAGCGCAAAACCCGTGTGAGCAATTCAGAATGAAGACCTAATAACATGTAAATCTGAAGATCGAAGTATCCATACTCATTATCACAATTAAATTCCTGTACATACTGATAATCAGGTGTTAGTGCAGTACTAACCCACAATGGTAGGACCGCCAGGTGTCGACGCAGGTGAGAGGAGCTCTGCAGGAAACGTTAGCACAGGAAGAAGGGGCGCCGCACCCACTCTCCACACCCTTGTACTCGCTCACCTCGCCCCACGCCGAGCTGTTGGTCGCAGGTGGCAGTGGAACGCTACGACCAGAGATCCTTAAGTCGTCCATACATCCTGGAGCAATGGCAGTGTAAAATTTCGATCTCTCTCTCTCGTTTTCTCTCCTACTTATTCCTTCTTTTTCTTCCTTACTCGGTTGCGTAACAGAGAAGAATTTTATGCATTTGATATCAGGAGGAAGGATAAAACATAAGATAAATAGAATTTTTTGTTGACGCTGCATTCATTGCTCATATTGCGCTGCCTACCACATTCATACTGTTCATAATATCATACTATGGGTGCCATGTAGCTCGGTTGGGTGTCCGTGGTTCAATCTCCGGCATGGATTGAAATATTTGACATGTTTCCTTACACCTGCTGTCCCTGTTCGTCAAGCAGTCAGTGGGTGCCTTAGTGTCAGTCGACTGGTGTGGGTCGCATCCTCGGGGGCAAGATTGAAGGACCCCAGTGGTAATAAGACAGACAGTCCTCGATAACGCATTGACGTATCCTGGGTGGCTAACCCTCCGGGTTAAAAATCCGAATAAATTTTGCCTTATCCTATCTTAACAGGTGAAGAGAGCAAGTCTAAGGTAGTTGTGTGTGTGTGTGTGTGTGTGTGTGTGTGTGTGTGTGTGTGTTGTGTGTGTGTGTGTGGTGTGTGTGTGTGTGTGTGTGCGCGTGTGTGTGTGTGCGTGTGTGTGTGTGTGTGTGTGTGTGTGTGTGTGCGTGTGTGTGTGTGTGTGCGTGTGCGTGTGTGTGTGTGTGTGCCTGCATGTTCATGTGTGCCTGCATGTTTGCATGTTCATGTGTGTCAGCATGCCTACATGTTCACACGTGAGTGAATCATGTTGACATGTGCGTGTGCGTCTGTCTTCACGTCCGCGTGCCTTGATGGTGACGCAGGGGTCGAGTTCGATCTCCTGGCCCAGGACTCTTCAAATTCAAAGCACTGGCGTAGTTGATCCATAGCTTCTTGAGCTATCACATCATTCTATATGTGAGTATAGTATGTGTATTGTGTGCGTGGTTGCATTTCAAGTTCCTCATAAGCGAGGTCTATAAAAGAACTTTACTGCATACGCCTTTACCATTTGCATTTTTGTGTTTCAGCTTTCTTCCAAGTCACCCATCTTCTCTGTCACCCATCTTCCTAGTAACCCATCCCATCTCCCGTCACCCATCTCCATCATCATTCTTTCCTGTACCTCTGTCACCCATCTCTTCTGTTACCCATCTTCCCTGTTACCCATCTGTCATCATTCTCTCCTGTTATCTCTGTCACAAATCTCTTCTGTTAACCATCTCTCCCGTCACCGACTGACCGTCGTGATAATCCTTGTGGACGCTGAACACCGTGACACCCATGTACTCCGGCGTTCCCCCTACGTGGACACCCTCCTGCTTGTCCACCTGCAGCAGCTGGCGTCCCTCCAGTACCACCGAGGCGTTGTACAGGTCACCGTCGCCGTCGTCAGCCGTCAGGAGGACCGCAGAGCCGTACCTGTGATCATCATCACATACCTGGGCGTCAGCCATCATGAAGGAACATACTTCACACGTTATAAAGAATGACCCATTAATATGCCTTGTATATCAATCGCATCGTACACTATTCACTATAAATAAGACTCGATACGCGACTGGTGGCATTTTACTGAGAATATATTTCGTCCACCAGGGACTTTGTTAATTCCCATAGAGAATTGATAGCGTCTCTGGTGGGCGAAACGTCTTCTCAATAAAATACCATAATCCGCATGCTATATTTTATTAACACCAGTGTTTCGTATTGCAACCAAAGGGTGCAAGTAATATTGCTCCAGTTACAGGAGTGCCAGTAATGAAGAGTGCTAGTAGCACAGTGTTGTTATTGGTGTGACAGTACTACACTGCCAGTACTAAAATACAGTGTGCCAGTACAGCAGTATCAGTACTACAATGTTAATACTTTAGTATCTGTGCTACAGTGCCGGTACTAAAGTAGTGCCGTGCCAGTACTAATAGTGCCAATGTTAGTTTCAGTACTACAGTGTCAATACCATAGTGTCAATACCGCAGTGTCAGTACCAGTGCCACAGTACCAATACTACAGTGAGAATCCCAGTACCTTGCAGCAGCCAGAGAGTGCCAGCGACCGTCAGTAAGAGTGGCTCTGGTGAGACAGAGGGAGGTGGGGGGTCGAGGGTGGAGGTGCAGTGCCACACACACTCGGCCGCCCACCACCTCCACCGCCCACCTGTCACGCCCATGTTGTGACGTCATCACCACCAGTTCCCCTCGTCTCCTCCAAGTGCGGAACCTGCAACAGCAGGAAGACAGTGTTACCACCTGCAACAGCAGGAGACATTGTTAACACCTTCAACAGCAGGAGACAGTGTTACTACCTGCAACAGCAGGAGACACTCTTACCATCTGCAACAGCAGGAGACATTGTTAACACCTGCAACAGCAGGAGACATTGTTAACACCTGCAACAGCAGGAGACAGTGTTACTACCTGCAACAGCAGGAGACACTCTTACCATCTGCAACAGCAGGAGACAGTCTTGCAATAACAGAAGACAGTATTACCACCTGCAGCTGGATATGTATCTCTCATAAAAGTCCAATAGTTTCTATGAGAGAAGAAATTATATTGACAAAAAAGGAGTATACAAGTTGTATAGTGATACTTCGGACAAGTTACAGTATACTCTGATACATTTCATTATATCTAAAGGTTTATATATTTTCCACATTTTAATTCCTAGAATATTTCATTAAATGTAACAAACTAGGAAATTTTTTTACACATATATCACTGTTAGTATTTCTTTTAAATATTTCATAATAAATTTCATCTTATATATATATAATATATATATATATATATAATATATATATATATCATATATATATATATATATAAATATACATATATATACATATATATATACATATAAATACATTACATATATATATACATATAATATACATATATATATACATTATATATACATATATATATACATATTAAATACATATATATACATATAAAATATACATATATATATACATATATATATACATATATATATCATATATATATACATATATATATACATTATATATATACATATATATACAATATATATCTTATATATATATATATATATATATAAATATATATATATATATATATATATATATATAATATATATTATTATCACACTGGCCGATTCCCACCAAGGCAGGGTGGCCCGAAAAAGAAAAACTTTCACCATCATTCACTCCATCACTGTCTTGCCAGAAGGGTGCTTTACACAAACAGTTTTTTAAACTGCACCATTAACACCCCTCCTTAAGAGTGCAGGCACTGTACTTCCCATCTCCAGGACTCAAGTCCGACCTGCGGTTTTCCCTGAACCCCTTCATAAATGTTACTTTGCCCACACTCCAACAGCACGTAAAGTATTAAAAACCATTTTTTCCATTCACTCCTATCAAACACGCTCACGCATGCCTGCTGGAAGTCCAAGCCCCTCGCACACAAACCTCCTTTACCCCCTCCCACCAACCTTTCCTAGGCCGACCCCTACCCCGCCTTCCTTCCACTACAGACTGATACACTCTTGAAGTCATTCTGTTTCGCTCCATTCTCTCTACATGTCCGAACCACCTCAACAACCCTTCCTCAGCCCTCTGGACAACAGTTTTGGTAATCCCGCACCTCCTCCTAACTTCCAAACTACGAATTCTCTGCATTATATTCACACCACACATTGCCCTCAGACATGACATCTCCACTGCCTCCAGCCTTCTCCTCGCTGCAACATTCATCACCCATGCTTCACACCCATATAAGAGTGTTGGTAAAACTATACTCTCATACATTCCCCTCTTTGCCTCCAAGGACAAAGTTCTTTGTCTCCACAGACTCCTAAGTGCACCACTCACCTTTTTCCCCTCATCAATTCTATGATTCACCTCATCTTTCATAGACCCATCCGCTGACACGTCCACTCCCAAATATCTGAATACATTCACCTCCTCCATACTCTCTCCCTCCAATCTGATATCCAGTCTTTCATCACCTAATCTTTTTGTTATCCTCATAACCTTACTCTTTCCTGTATTCACCTTTAATTTTCTTTCTTTTTGCACACCCTACCAAATTCATCCACCAATCTCTGCAACTTCTCTTCAGAATCTCCCAAGAGCACAGTGTCATCAGCAAAGAGCAACTGTGACAACTCCCACTTTATGTGTGATTCTTTATCTTTTAACTCCACGCCTCTTGCCAAGACCCTCGCATTTACTTCTCTTACAACCCCATCTATAAATATATTAAACAACCACGGTGACATCACACATCCTTGTCTAAGGCCTACTTTTACTGGGAAATAATTTCCCTCTTTCCTACATACTCTAACTTGAGCCTCACTATCCTCGTAAAAACTCTTCACTGCTTTCAGTAACCTACCTCCTACACCATACACTTGCAACATCTGCCACATTGCCCCCCTATCCACCCTGTCATACGCCTTTTCCAAATCCATAAATGCCACAAAGACCTCTTTAGCCTTATCTAAATACTGTTCACTTATATGTTTCACTGTAAACACCTGGTCCACACATCCCCTACCTTTCCTAAAGCCTCCTTGTTCATCTGCTATCCTATTCTCCGTCTTACTCTTAATTCTTTCAATTATAACTCTAACCATACACTTTACCAGGTATACTCAACAGACTTATCCCACCTATAATTTTTTCACTCTCTTTTATCCCCTTTGCCTTATACAAAGGAACTATGCATGCTCTCTCTGCCAATCCCTAGGTACCTTACCCTCTTCCATACATTTATTAAATAATTGCACCAACCACTCCAAAACTATATCCCCACCCTGCTTTTAACATTTCTATCTTTATCCCATCAATCCCGGCTGCTTTACCCCCTTTCATTTTACCTACTGCCTCACGAACTTCCCCACACTCACAACTGGCTCTTCCTCACTCCTACAAGATGTTATTCCTCCTTGCCCTATACACGAAATCACAGCTTCCCTATCTTCATCAACATTTAACAATTCCTCAAAATATTCCCTCCATCTTCCCAATACCTCTAACTCTCCATTTAATAACTCTCCTCTCCTATTTTAACTGACAAATCCATTTGTTCTCTAGGCTTTCTTAACTGTTAATCTCACTCCAAAACTTTTTTCTTATTTCAACAAAATTTGTTGATAACATCTCACCCACTCTCTCCTTTGCTCTCTTTTTACATTGCTTCACCCACTCTCTTAACCTCTCTCTTTTTCTCCATATACTCTTCCCTCCTTGCATCACTTCTATTTTGTAAAAACTTCTCATATGCTAACTTTTTCTCCCTTACTACTCTCTTTATCATCATCATTCCACCAATCGCTCCTCTTCCCTCCCGCACCCACTTTCCTGTAACCACAAACTTCTGCTGAACACTAACACTACATTTTTAAACCTACCCCATACCTCTTCGACCCCATTGCCTATGCTCTCATTTAGCCCATATATCCTCCAATAGCTGTTTATATCTTACCCTAACTGCCTCCTCTTTTAGTTTATAAACCTTCACCTCTCTCTTCCCTGATGCTTCTATTCTCCTTGTATCCCATCTACCTTTTACTCTCAGTGTAGCTACAACTAGAAAATGATCTGATATGTCTGTGGCCCCTCTATAAACATGTACCATCCTGAAGTCTACTCAACAGTCTTTTATCTACCAATACATAATCCAAACAAACTACTGTCATTTCGCCCTACATCATATCTTGTATACTTATTTATCCTCTTTTTCTTAAAATATGTATTACCTATAACTAAACCCCTTTCTATACAAGTTCAATCAAAGGGCTCCCATTATCATTTACACCTGCACCCCAAACTTACCTACCACACCCTCTCTAAAAGTTTCTCCTACTTTAGCATTCAGGTCCCTACCACAATTACTCTCTCCACTTGGTTCAAGGCTCCTTTACATTCACTTAACATCTCCCAAAACTCTCTCTCCTCTGCATTCCTCTTTTCTCCAGGTGCATGCACCCCTTTTATGCCCCACTTCTCGCACCAACCTTTACTTAATTCACATAATTCTTGAATTTACACATTCATATTCTCTATTCCCCTTTTCCATAACTGATCATTCAACATTACTGCTCCCCCTTTTCCTTGCTCTAACTCTCTCAGATACTCCAGATTTAATCCCATTTATTTCCCCCACCGAAACCCCCCTATCCCCTTCAGCTTTGTTTCGCTTAGGGCCAGGACATCCAACTTCTTTTCATTCATAACATCAGCAAATCATCTGTTTCTTGCCCATCCGCACTACATCCACGCACATTCAAGCATCCCAGTTTTATAAAGTTTTTCTTCTTCTCTTTTTTTAGTAAATGTCTACAGGAGAAGGGGTTACTAGCCCATTGCTCCCGGCATTTTAGTCGCCTCATACGACACGCATGGCTTTGGGAGGAAAGATTCTTTTCCACTTCCCCATGAACAATAGAAGAAATAAAGAAGAACCAGAGCTATTTAGAAAAAGGAGGAAAAAACCTAGATGTATTATTATATATGTATGTGCGTGTCTGTGAAGTGTGACCAAGTGTAAGTAGGAGTAGCAAGATATCCTGTTTATCTAGGCCCTGTTTATGAGACAAAAAAGAAACCAGCAATCCTGCCATCATTTCAAAACAGTTACAAAGGGTTTCTGTTTCACAGTCATCTGGCAGGACGGTAGTACTTCCTGGGGGTTTTCTGTCTACCAACCCACTACCTATAATATATTTTTATATATATAATATTTATTTATTTATATATATAATATATATATATATATATATTTTATATATATTTAATTTTTTATATATAAAAATATATAATTTATTATATATAATATAAATATATATATATATATTTATTTAATATATATTTATTTAAAAATATATATATATAATATAATATATATTTTATAAATATAATTATTTATATTTTTTAAAATTTATATATTATATATATTTATATAAATATATATATAATTTTTAAATATATATATATATATATATTTATATATATAAAAATTTATAAAAATATTTTATATTATATATATATTTTAAAATATTTTAAAAATAAAATAAATTAAATTTAAGTTTTAAATTAATGGAAATATTTTAATTTAAGTTTGATAAAAAATAAAATTAATTTTTTAATTGATTAAAATTATAAATTTGAAAATATTTTAAATTTATTATTTATAATGAAAAAATTTAAATTTTTAAAAATTTTAATAAAATTAATTAAAAAAATTTAGGGGGGGAAATTTTTTAAAATTAATTGTTAATTTTAATTATTTTAAAATATTTTTTTATATTTATTTAATTTTCTTATTTTAATATATAAATATTTTTAAAAATTATAATATATATTATTATATATATATAAATTTATAAATATATTTATATATATATATTTATTATATATATATATTTTTAAATAATATATAAAATATAATATTTTATATATATTTATGGTTTTTTTTTTAATATGACACACATGCGTTCAATTTTATATATATAAAAAAATATTTTTTATATTGTAATGGGCTAGGAATGCTTGTAAGGATAAATTTAGAGGTTTCAATTCAGAGATTCTTTTTTATTAAAAACCCTTGTGATGCGCTAAAATATAATAGGTCACACCGCACCTAAGAAGGGAAAAATAATTAGGTCTGATCGGAGGGAAAGGAGGCTAGTTCCAATTCCACGGATCAAGAGCACTTGACAAGCCAACAATACCTGAGGGAGATGGAGGTGGTGTAGCCCAGAGGGGTGAAGGAGAGTGCCAGCTTGACGTAGCTGTTGAGGAGGAAGGTGGTGGGTGTGGTGGGTGTGGCACACCCTGGCCCTCCCCACCCTGCCTGGCACTCACACCGTAGCGAGCCTGGAGACCCACGACACCTGTCCAAGTTAAAAAAGATGCAGACAAACGTGAGAGTGATTATGAAGTACAAGAGAGAATAGAGATATGGAGAACGTGGAGAGAAGTGCATGAGACCAACAGATAAGGATAGAGATGTATTTACAGATAAATTCATAAATGAGCGTAACTAAAGAGATATATGGATATAAAGATGAGAGAGAGGGGGGAGATAGAGAGAGAGAGAGAGAGATGAGAGAGGAGAGAGAAAAGGGAAGGGGAGAGAGGTGAGAGGAGAGAGAGAGAGAGAGAGAGAGAGAGAGAGATTTTTACGATTTTACTTGTCTCTTGTGCTGTGCCAACAAACACAACATATCTCATTAACATTACCTGTCGTGGTGAATTACACTCACTGCCTCAACAATGAGTCTCTCACTCCTGAATGGTCTCACGTCGTGTTCCATTATTTATGTTCTTCGTCCTCATTATAACTTCTTATATTCCGTTTGTTGAAAAGATTTTATTATTTTCAGATTTTTGTAGTTATTTGTTTTGTATGTATATTATCACTTAATAATTACGTCTTATAATTTATTTACATTATTTAAAGTACATATGTTTCCCTGTGACTTTTTTTTACCTATGATATATTTGTTTTCTTCCTTCGCTTATATATACATTCTTCTGACCAACTAACAATACCTGGCCTCTTAACACCTCCAGGGGTGGGGGAAATATTTATATATGAAAAACTCGTGAACAAGAATAAAGGGGAAAAATTATAAAAAAAAAATATTTAATTCTATTGATCTTTAATTTTTTTTTAATTTTTAGGGAAATGAAGGCAAATTAATTATTATTATTTAAACTAATCTGGCTTCGAGAACACTAATTGTGGCTCTGTTTGCTCAGGCGAAAAGACGCGAGAAACAAGAACCAAATATAGCAATATAAACAAATGTAAATATTGTCGAACAAGAAGAAGCAGAACAAATAATCTCAATAAAAAGTCATTAAAATTAACTCGAAAGACTTTACCTTATTTGTCTTCGTAGTAATTTATGCTACGAAAATATTTAATGATTATTAACTCTCTTCCAAGAATTAATATGTACCCAATCCCTGAGGTACGTTTATTGTCTTCTCTGAGGATGAGGGTCCCCATTCCAGCTATAGAGATGGTACTTCTCTCTCTCTCTTATAAAATATAAAAATATATATAATATATAATATATATATATATAATATTTTATATATATATATATATATATAAATATATATATATGCAAGAATCGCTAACAAGCGATACAAACGTCCCTCAGAACGAATCTGCTGAGATTTCTTACTCATTTCTGCAACTCTGCAAGCTCCTGATGATGTGTTGTATCAACACATCATCAGGAATATTACTCGAAAAGTCACGCATTGCAAAACAAGTTTTTATTGGAACAGTTTCACTCAGTGTAGAGGTTTATTAAGTACTGACTTGATGAAGCTTACACAGAGCGAAATGTTGTTCGAATAACAGCTTGTTTTGCGGCGGGTGTCGTTTCTTCACTGATGTCAGCTGTACGACGTTTCGATCTATAACTCGAGAATAAAGCATTATCAATTTAAGACCCATCTGACGCTAAGATTTAAGGTATACAATACTGACACGTATACAAAGAAGACAATTGAGCAACACTTGGGTATTTTTAATAGAGCTACTAATAAAGACACACAGTAGTGCTCAAGTGTCTTCTTAGTCACTGTCAGGACCTGTCTGAAGAGTCTCATGAAGGAAAGTCGAGAGAGTAGTCTAGAGCGTAATTATGGAAAGTAGACCTGACGAACATAACTTCCGCCCTTAGAGACGAACTTAGAGCGGAAAATATTTTGTTCGCCTAATTTACGTAAAAAGAGGGACGCTCTGATGCACACCAGGTGACGTTCTTCGACAATAGCGAGGGAGAGTTACGGAGGATAAGAGGACAGTGTGGAAGAAATCGGAAGACAGAGGTAACAGCATGAGATGTGTAGAGGAGTCATGATTCTCTTTTTAGTAAGCAAAACTAATTACGTCTGCAGTGTGCGAATATCTTCTTCTGTATGATAATATTGAGAGAGTAACATCTAGCCACGATTATTTTCTTTATATATTGCATCACACAGGATAGGTTGTACATAATTAGAGAGTGAAGACTGTCAGCCTGAGCTAGGAGGTTTAAGTAGGATATCGTCAAGCATTCCACTGTGGCTTACGTAGTTATGACATATTTATAAATTTCCTTCCAACGGGAGTGAGTTTCAACTATAATATCCCTCTTATTACCGTAAGAAGTCAGTGGGGAGAGAGGAGAGGGAAGTATCAAGAGGAGATAGTACAAGGGTAGAATAAAGAAAGAAAGAATGGGAAGCGTAGGACAAAAATGAGACAGGGATGTGTTGGGGAGAGTTACACATCTAAAGTGAAATAAAACGGCAAATGCTCGAGAAGGAAGAAGATATAGGAAAGGAGAATAAGAGAAATAGGAGGAGGAGGAGGAGGAGGAGGAGGAAGAGCAGGGCGAGTAAGACAAGGAGGAGGGGTAGGAGGGAGAAAGAAGATGAGGAAGATGGTATCCGATGATGAGTATGAGAACGATAAAACAGTAAAGAGGAGAAGTGAAAGCAGAGAATGAATACAGATGAGAAGAGAAGGTCTTTACTCTGAGATCCTTTAAATTTTATAGCACTAAATAGCCGTTCAGGCAGTTTTTTTCTTCTTTAGCCTTTCACGTCATGACAGCTTTTTTTTTTTCTATGCGTGCTTTTATGTCGCTCTTTTTTTGACCCAGTCGTGTCATGTTCTGGATTGCTCGCCTCACCTTCCACGCTGACCGTCAGCTGCCAGGACAAAAAAAAAAAAATAAATAAAATGGTGAGAAAATACTTTATAATCATACCATTTTTCCGGTCTAAACTTTTTCACTTGGAATAGAAGTGGACCCCAGGAAATTAGAAAACACATATATATATACACACACACACACAACAGTAGTTTACAAATTAATTGGGACAGGAGTAAATTTTGTAATTATATCATAATGTGTCTTAGTCTTCGGCTTAATGTAGTTTGGGTTCTTTTCTTTTCAGGAGAGTTTACTATCGACTTCTGGGAACCATCCAGCTGTTACCCTGCGACTCTCCCCAGTGCTACAATAGCTGTTGTTCTGTAAGGTTATTCCTGCAAGCGCGCTCTGTGGGTGAATGTGGTTTCGAGAAATCTCCTTCATTTCCTGATTACTGCTGAAATTCGCGATGGATGTTACACTTAGGAAGTGTGCAAGTATTGTAGCTCTTAGAAAACATGCTGATTTGAGTATCAGACAGATCACTGAAAATTTGAGCCTAGCAAAGTCAACTGTTGGTCGGATTCTGAAGAGAGCTGATGACACTGGTGATTGTGGAGCTCTGCATCGAGAAAGATATGGAAGAAAACGCAAGACAGCACCTCACGATGTGAAGGATCCCAAGAAAACCAGCCAAGATATTCAGTTAGCGTAAATGTTGATTCTTCAACTGTTCGATCTTTTCCTTGAAGTTGGCAGAACTGCCAGAAAGCCGGTAAAGAAACAGTTATTGACTGCTGTATGAAGACAAAACGGCTGTGGTGGGCACTCGATCATGAGGGATGGACGACAGATGAATAAGGAAAAGTTATATTTTCAGATGTGGCAAATTTTGAATTAAATGGGTACATATCAGTGGTAGTGAGACGGAGCAAAGGCGAACCTCTTCGGAATGGACACATTCAATAAGCGTCAAAATACCCACTTAAGAAGATGTTTTGGGGTAACTTTACTGCTAAAGGCCCTGGACGACTTGTTATTGTTGAGGGAACGATGAACAGTATCAAATACAAGGCAATACTGGCAGCTCATTTGCTTCCCATTGTGGATAGAGACGGAGAAATTACTTGATGAAGAAGGCAATTTCCAGCAGGATCTTGCTTCATGCCACAATTCCAGAAAAATGCTGATATTCTTCGAAGAGAGTGGGCTAAGCGTTTGAAATTGCCCTGGAAACTCTCCTGACCTCACCCCAGTTGAGAATTTAGGGGTAATAACCAAACGCAGGATGGCAAAACAGGACTGTTCAGTTGTGGAAGAGCTAATTGCTGTTGTTATTAGGGCTGGTACCACGACGAAAAACTCGCAGAAATGTGTTCAATGTTAGTTGATTCTATGCTAAACCGTCTAGCAACGCTTATAAAAGCAAGGGGTAGTCACATCTCTTATTAAATTTTTTTTTAATTTTTGGGGG